ATTAGGTGACTGACACAATTAGGTTCAACTTTTTTGCCTATTCATTTATCATGTAAACCGGTTTAAGTGTTATTTCTCTTTGTAATTCTTAAGTATACGATAACTTATTACGAAAAGATATTGCATACTCGTATGTACCATAGAATTGCCAGACGTTTCGACCAGGTTTGACTAACTGACAAGCTGACTCATATATCCACATTCATCCTCCATTATAGAATGAAAATGTCAATTAAAATTCAAGTTACTTAGAAAAACATCTATGTCGTATTATCATTGACTTATAACGATGTATAATAAAATATCAATAAAGCTGTCATTGACTTTTGGCTTTACATCATTCTAAGTGTTGTTTAAAACATTTGATGGTAATAGGCTTGCCTTCTTTTATTTGAGAACAAAATTATAATTGGCTCAAGATAAATGTTTAAAAAGAAGTTGAACCGACTTCAAATAAAACTAACAAACACACATATATATATATAGGTATATATATTGACATGGGCTCAACTTTTCATTGGCGTCCGTCGAGTTGGGGTTGCTTTTTTTTTCAGAAAGGTTACATTATTATAAGCACACACGCAAAGTTTCAACGAAAATATTGAAAATCTATTTTTTTGCAATATTTATGCCAATCCCTACCATTCACTACAGATAATATAGAATTCTCGCCATTAAACGTTTCGTTTTATTTATGGTTAAGTTGTCATACGTTCGGTAACATTTTATTATAAAAATGTTGTTTAAATTTACGTAAATAATTATATTTTGTACTCATTTCAATAGTTTTTATGCACACATATATTGAACAGTTTATATATATTAAATTATAGCACATATATATAGGTGTCCGTGTAGTGACGGATTAAGAATACGGAATGTCACTACCCCAATTCATCCCGTGGGTGTCGTAAGAGCCGACTAAGGGCGCAAAACAACGCAGGACACCAGCACTGCAAAAAGAAGGAAAACTTGACACAAACCCTATACCAACCCGCCTGGCCAGCGTGGTATAGTAGGCCAAAACCTTCTTTCTAAGGAGAGGCCTATGTCCAGCAGTGGACTATTAAAGGCTGTTGATGTGTGTTGATGTGAAATTATAGCATATTTTTATTACGAGCTATTTAAATTGTAATGTATAGTGTTTACCGTCTTTTGCCGGCTTGTGGAACGAAACGTAAAACTAACGCTATTTATACATTTTTAATAATTTTATTTTTTTTCTTTTAACAGTACCTATTAGGGCAGATAACAAATAAAATAGGTTAGGTTAACTTATGTCAAAGAACCGAATTGACTGACCATGACTTCACCTGGTACGAGTCTGTACCCCTATAGCGCTACCCCTATAGCGTTTTATAGGGCCAGAGGCGCGTAGGGAGAGCAGCTTTCGCTAAAGGTGACCAACAAGCCAAAGCTTCAGCCGTTTTCGGCTCGTCCGATGCCTAGGATTTGTTCCGGTAGCGCCGGAAACGATGCAGTCTCAAAGAGATACAGAAATCCCTATAAATCAGTCCCTCTATTTTTTTATTAAGGGGGTTCCATATCCCCTTCAAGAGGTCCCCTTTTTTACACTTATTATTAATTTTAATGAATAAAATGAGGAAAACTGCCTAAAAATTTAAAAAACTCGAAAATGGAGTGGTTTCCTCAACTTTTACTTTTACGGGGGGATAGTAAGCCCCCCACTAACTCTCTCACCCCACAGCTCCCTCAATTCGGACGTCAATGGAAAGTCGTACCTATATATGTACACTAGCTGATCCGCGCAACTTCGTCTGCGTCTCTCAATAGTAATAAATTTTCTCCGTTTTTGAAACATTCTTCATTGGTGCTCCGCTCCTATTGGTCTTAGCGTGATGATTTATAGCCTATAGCCTTCCTCGATAAATGGGCTATCTAACACTGAAAGAATTTTTCAAATCGGACCAATAGTTTCTGAGATTAGCGCGTTCAAACAAACAAACAAACAAACTCTTCAGCTTTATAATATTAGTATAGATATATTACAAAACTGTTAAACAACCAAACCTAGTGCCAGTAATGCAATTAAAAACCGAGGAATTAAAAAATACTTTTAAATTAATTACATGTCTATTACATTGTTATTACATAAATATTACGGTTAACATCTTGATTATTCTAAGACATATATATCTGTACAAATAGATGAAATTGAAATGTGTGTTTATTAGGTCATAATAAAACTTTTTATTTATTGACTCGGTAAAATTACTATTTTTTTGTATGTGGTTCTGTTTGTTCCGGATTAACTTCGTAACGGGTGAACTAATTTCCACTGGACTTTACAGGCATATAACTGATATCGAAAGGTGGCACATAAACGAATAAATAAAATTTTAGAAATAAATCGATTATGCATTTCGTTTAAGCTAAGCGACCTTCATATACATATTTGCCTTATATATCATATTGGGGTTAGCACACTGTATTGTATTTTTATTACATATACCGTAAAAGAATACATGATACTCGTACTACACAATTGACGAAAATTGTAAGTGTCTATTTAATGACTTTAAAAGTATAAGACAGGTTTTGTTAATAGCCAATAAAAACAAACGAAAATGTGAAAAGATAAAAGGAGTGTCTAAACCAAGAGTCACAGGATTCTAGAGACCAGCGTTTAGAAGAGGACCGATCGGACGATCTATACATTCAAAAATATAGTGGCACAACATTACCTGTTCTAATTGCAATTCCCTATGACTCAAAACAATAAATAGAAGCCTAAAACATGACCAAAAATGCCTAAAAATTTATCTACCTAATAGATCTGCAGAATAGTGAATTTACTCCGCACGTAGGGACAAGTGGTACTAGTAAACATTATTGCCCAAGTTAATGTGAAACAGACAATATATTCGTAGGCGTAAACTTCAAATTGAAATCACTAGTTATTTTTGCATTTTTGAGTATCGTAATCTAATTATATTTCCGAACAGACTTCACCGAGGGCACACGGCACCTTAAAATAAATTATAAAATATTATGACCAGTGAAAGCAAAGCAATAACTAAATTTATGTGGGCTTTTGTTTTAAATTAAACAAATTACAATAAATATTACGAGTGTCTCAATGGTACCTAGGATATCTCCCTTTTATTTGGGACCAAAACCAAATTGTTAATTACTAACCAAATTTGAACTAAATTTAACGAGATGTACTTAAATCCAGTCTTAAATTCAACTCGATACCTGTTTATAGAACTGGTATTTAATTGACCTTCAGAGTTAAAAAAGTTAAAAAAGCTAAATACATAAACGTATAAAGTGACGTTGATAATTTTTCACTTAAGTATAGCGTAACAATACTAAGCCAATCTCGGTATCGTTAATTGGACTTAATAGGCTCGAGACATAATTAAATATGAGATGCCTGTGATATGTCTTCTAAACCTTTATCAAACAGATGTAATAGTAATGAAATATAGAAACTCATTTTATAGAAACAAAAATTTTCTTTCAACAATTTCATTTTGTGGCATCAGATGGTCGACAGTGAATATTTCCTTAAGTGAAAAATAATCTGTATATTAGTAAGAGAGATTTATATGTACATATAAATATTAGTATATATGGTGGCTATGTTTAGAGTCTTTTCAAAGGATAAAAATCAAAATAAGTCGCAACGAGGTGAGTCGACAAAAGCTTTTGAAGGTACATTGGGAGAGGTTCAGCAGTGTAAACTAGTGTTAACTGATTGTATGTCATGATTTAAATTAAAAACTATAATTTATTTATTAAATTTCATGTTTAATTTTTTTGGCATTGTGGCTGGCTACTGCCAGTCGTAGAAATGTCCGAAAACTTAACCAGAAACAAATCAGGTGAAGGTTAAATTTTTACGCTATCTTCGTTACTATATATTGTACTAATTGTCACATCACTTTTGGATGGATGAATGTTATAAGCAGAGGATTTTTTAATCTTATACTTTCAGTTTAAGAATACACTATTCATAGCTAAAGTTTAAGCAAACTACATTTTAAATGAAAATTTGTATTCAACCTTTATATAATTATTTATTAACAATTTATACATGTAAACAATGTATTATAATAAGTTTAGTAAAAGTATATAGCCGTATTCGTGTGGTAAAGAAATAAGAATACGGAGTGTCACCACCCCTATTCATCCCGTAGGTGTCGTAAGAGCCGACTAAGGGAGCAAACTAGGACAATAGCACTTCAAAGAGAAGAAATTTTCAAACAAACCATATACCGACCCGGCCAGCGTGGTAAAGTGGGCCAAAACCTCCTCTCTAAGGAGAGGTCCCTATCCAGCAGTAGAGTATTAAAGGATGTTGATGAGGATGATGATATAGGAGTATTATAAGTTCTATGTTAAAAATTCTCTTCTCTTCTTATCTTCTCATAATAGACAACTCCAGCATATTAAATAAAGAAAGAAAGAAAGTAAAAAGAGAGTAGACGCAGCAGCAGAAAATAACAATTATTAAACTCCAGACAACTCAATTAACTTCGTCGGAGAAGTTAACTCACAATAATAATAAAATATTATAGAAGTTTATAAAATAAATAGAAGTATTTTAATAAAATGAGACAAAGACACTTTTAAATGTAGAAAATAACATTCGAATTCGTTTTCAAGTTGAGTATGGAGAGTCCGACCGGGTTCATAGTGACAATTGCCGTTTTTATACATATATATATATATATATATATGTATATATATAAATATATTATAAACAAAGCCTATCATTATGAATACGCATAGAAAAAATTAACGAAACGAAATAGAAAACAAAAATTACCTAACAAATATTTTTATCTGATAAAAATCTAATAAAGACCTTTATGTTAATAATCTTTTGAAACAATAAAACACCTTAACAATTATATTTACGATATAAAAAACTGACGACATCTATAGATGTCTAACATTCGCTTAAAAGGAAAAAAAGCCAGACATAATCGCTTGGCACTTATAGTATATATTGAGTTTAATGGACTTACTGTTCCTTTCGCTTCTTAGTTCCCATTTTTCTGAATAAATTTTAATGTTCCAGCTAGACACGAGGAGGGCGTCCGTCCTGTGTAGAGGCAAGGAACATTATGAAAACCGGTCAACAGTCTTTCAGAGACGCACATCAACGTCATTTGCTCTAAACGCTTGTTAACTATTAGTAGGAAAACGGCATCATTTATTAAACATTACAACATATGCAGTTGTGTGTCGATAATGAGCATTATAAAACTTTCGTCGAAATTTGAAGAAAATTATAATTCTAAGTTGTGGCTAATAACATGTATAATGTTTATTTGCATACCGACATATATTATGTGTTTTCATGTCATAATGCATTTATATTAATTACATTCATGTAAGTATCATTATAATTTTTCTTTAATGCATTTAACATATTATGTACGAATATATTTGAAAGTAAACAACAGTGTGTTTTATGAGATTAATATTTTATGTAAATGACACCAATGGAAGCAATAAATTAATTACAGATTTAAGATATATTGTAATAAACATAAATTGCTTCGAGAGTTCCGTATTTTTGTCACAACGGTAATAATCAGTTTACACATCGACCTTTGTGACCCAAATACAAAGGTGCAATGTAAATAAAACTATGCATTTTAGGTGTTGGGGTCACTTTCGGGGCCCAAATTATGAAATAAAAAGCAAACTTACCGTGTGACCATTGTCTCTTAAAATACGGAACAAAATCAATGTATTCCTTTTGTTTAGTTACCCACTTATAAATTACACACAATTAATTGAAAAGTGAAAGTTACGGTCTTAAAAGAAAATGCCAAATCTATTAATTTCGACCAGGTGCACCTGCCATGTTTACAGGCGGTCTGCCTTAGAGCTGCACGCCTTTCATCGTCGAGTCCGTGAGGTAACATTGATCTGCATCTACCTGCACAATTCCGATATTTTTGCTTCGGCTTGTACCTTCACATACTATACTAACAGTATTCCTATTCTTGAAAAAAAACGTCAGTCAATTCAAAAATATGTAATACCTAATAATCTTAGAGTTTTAATTTTAAGTTTCTGAATTCTTCTTTATAGGGTATTTTGAAATTTTTAATTTACAAAAAACGGCATGACAGTAAACTCTTAATGTCTAACTAAGAACTAAAGAAAACTTCAAACATGATGACACTTGGTTTGGTTGTTTACAAATATTCGAAACCGATTTGGCTCAAGTACATAAATCATATAATACTTTATCATATAATGAGGTTTGTGATCTAGTTTTGTGTAATGTATGTATTAATGCCGTCATATTTTAATGATTTGTAAGTATCAACAGTAAAGACGTCGCATGCGCGCCTCACAAATGTGGTGATTGAATTTACATGACTTCAAAAAAAGGTAAAAACTATTAATTTCACCGCGTGTGTAGCATGTAACATGTGTGTTTAATTGTTATGAGTAAAACATTTTATTTTATTTTAAATTGTAAACTAAAATTAAAATTAATACTTACGTAAAATTACTGCTTCGACATTTTGCTTTGAACGTTAAATTTTGCGATTAAATTTCGAAATGAACTAGATTATTTGATAATATCGTAATTTTCTTTATCTTTTTCCAACAGACAACAAAACCCGAATATACGTCTAACCTCTCAATCGCCTAATCTTGTCTCCCATTCATACATGCGATCTTCTTCAAAGCGAAAAGTCACAGACTTTGGCAAACTGCCCAAATGTTAGGAGCCATGCGTCAGTGAGTTAACGTTGAAACTGTTCGATACCGTTAACTACGTACAGAAAGAACATACACAATATTACATAATTCAATTCTCGTAAAACTTTGTATTTTTTGTAGCCGTATCTTGAAAGATACTGGGTTCATTAAGGATACATTACGAGTATGAAAGATGAAACGCACTTTATTATACGAATCACTTAAAGCGTTTATAGCACTATACTTTAATTAGAATATCATTTAAATCAAATTATTTTTTATTAATTGAGGTAGTTTGTAGTTGCGCTGATATATATGAATTATTGTCACCATACTATTAATCTTGACAGGAATGTTTTGTCAATGTATAGAAGATATCTCACGGTCATCTGTCTCATTCACAAACCCACTTTCAAATAATGAGCTTTTTTAAATCCGTTTGTCTTTTATTAATTTTCTTCAAAAAAGAAAAATCAAATTTGGTGCAGCACATATCGGGCATTTTTTTTTATATAGACATAGATCCTCACAGTCCGACGGTAGTAAATAAGAACAACAGTAAACACAATTAAAGATGTGTTCCAAGGTCTTACCAACAGTCATACATAGGATTAGAAAATGATTCTTTTGGATATTTGTTAATACTAACTATTAAAACTGAATTAGAATCAATTAGCATCATCATCAATTTAAATCAATCAAATTATTTGATTAAGTGAGTCAATGATTTTTTTTATTAATCTGCTTGTTTTTTTTTTTATAGAAACCTTGTCCTGACAATAAGAAACATAAAAAAAGAGTTACATAATTTGGTGCAGTCGTTCAGAAGTTATGCGCTTACATACATTAACTACATTAAATGCACAACGTATCTAACGTATTTAATTAGATAGGAAGTAATAAATTCCGTGGTACATTATTTTGGTTTATCACGTAAGGTTAAGCCAGCATTTACTGTACGCACAAAAACATATTTTTTAAGACTTCACATTACAAATCTTTGAAATTCTTTTATTTCTTCCACTAAAATATGCTTGTATTTTACACGTTAACCCGCCTCTTGATTAATTATCACTGTTAGTGAAAACTGCATTAAAATCCGTTGCGTTGTTTAAAAGATCTAAGCGTCCAAGAAAAAGTGATTTCATTATATACCATGTAAGATAGTCAAGACCAAAAATTATCCATTCAATTTCTTTCTTTTTTCAGCCATTCCATCGGGCCCACTCGTTTTATGAATATCGAGGGAAAAGAGTGCTCTACACACTGACTTCTGGGTGCATCGGATTCCCGGCATACAGCTCTGGCACTGCGTTGTAGTTGGTGGTACGTTTCTCTCGTCATCCTAAGTCGAGTTGGATGCAAAGAGTTCGCCTAGGAGATTGGCTTTCTCTTTGGCTTCAGGGGCTAATGAATTGTTTCCCATCTGCAGGGGTGGAAGAGATTGACTACAGAAATTCGCCTAGACAGTCTAGACAGAATGTACGAGTTCCAGAAAGAAGTCTCACCAGGTTCTGCTGATGTGCTCCGATTTCTTTCTAGCAATGGCGCTTTCGAGGGACCCGGAGACGGAGTTGTATCTATTGTTTTTTTATGCTACGTGCTTACATCATCTAGGTATTTACATCATCCGTTGCTACATTAACCTATGCTTGGTAACATTCTAGCTTTTAGCACGAAACCATTTTGCAGAATCTATAGAACCAAGGCTTGGATCTGCCACCGATGCAAGTTAATGAAGATGGAAATAATAGTTCCATGTCCTGAAGCGCTACATCAGTGACAGAATTGACAAGGACGTTGGTATCATCCGGCAAGAAACAAGACTGCCTTCATGGGTGGGATTCAAAGAAAGAACGTATCCCGTCCCAGTCCGCTGACACATGAATAGCATCATAGTCCAGATCAGTCAATGATCGTAGGAGCTAACTGGCGCCCCAAAGGTGACTTTAAAATTATAAGGATTACAGATCAGCAGAAGGTCCAACAGTAAAGGCTAATGCCTTTTACATCTGACACTAAGGTTGTAACAGGCCATAGGTAAGACTAAAATTCAACGGTGCTATCATAAGGGAGAGGGGTGGGGGGGGGGGGGCTCCAGAAACCTCGCTCACTCGGTGAAATCAACAAGAGAATTACTTAAGACCGGCTTTTTGTGATAATTCCTTATACATGATTTGTGATCTGTAGTTACCTGATAAAAATATACACAAACTGCTGTTTGTTAAAGAAAACACACGTAAAACCAGAAAAATAGTATCAATTTAATTTTAATAACTGTAAATGTGAAAGTACTATTATATGAGTAGTATTCACTCTACTCTAACCAGTAGCGATCGTTATAATTTTTCTACCATTTTTGTAACTTTATAAAGGCTTGTGTAAAGGGGCGTCCATTAATTACGTGACGGGTTTTCGGCAATTTTTCTGACCCCCTCTCCGCCCCTGGTGAGATCTTGTGAGATTTTAATCAACCCCCTCCCCATTCTAATAATTTTAATAAGTAATTTTTGACGACCGAATGGCGTAGTGGTTTGTGTAACGGACTGCTATTCCAAAGGTCGCGGGTTCGATTCCCGCTCAAGTCAAACATTTGTGTGCATGAACATTTGATGTTTGATTTGGTCTGGGTGTTTCTATGTATAATATGTATGTATTTACAAAAAAAAAAAAAAAAATATATATGTATTTATATCAGTTGTCTAGTACCCATAGTACAAGCTCTGCTTAGTTTGGGACTAGATGGCGTTGTGTGAATGTGGTACAATATTATTTATTTATTTATTTATTTATTTATTCCCAAAACTCACCTGAGATTTTTAAAAATGTGTTTTTAGTGTAAAGACGGTGTAAATGCCGGCGGAGGCGCGTAAACAAACGATGAACTACTGTTCAACTTCGCAACACTCGTAATACCATGAAAAATATTATTGTATAAGACGTGGCCATATTTCTGTGGAGAAACATGTTTTACCTTATTTAACACAGTTTACTCGCAATTTTACTCTGTTTCCTGAAGATAAAAAATTACGTGATATTTGCCGAGACCCTCTCTCCTTAAACTAAGATTAGATGAAATTCAGCTCGATCCCCTCCCCCCCACAGATGCCTAATAATTAAATATTAATAAATAAATATTAATATTACGTAATTAATGGACGCCCCCCAACATAGCACAGGTTTCGACTAAAACTAATCATACGATACATAGTGATACATAATATACATTACGAACAGGTGATGAGCACCTGTTCGTAATGTAATGTTTATCAGACAGGACATTGGAAGAAGGTAAATTTTAGTTTAGTACTAGATAGTAGGTTTAATTAGTAGTCTAGTCATAGACCTACGAGGAAATATTTTAAGAAGCATGAAGAGAAGTGTTTGTTTCAAGGATATTCGATAAGAACGGGCAAAAAAAGGTTCCTGAGGTTGAAACAACTACCTATGTACAATTTGTACGGAACCCTCTTTGCGCGATATAAATTCGTGTATATTTTTGTTTCCTATCTGTAATACGAGTATTGTACAGTGATTTTTTTAATTCCTAAATCGTGATTATGTTATACAAGGTGCATCAATGTTTATTAATTTTTTTTTGCCTCTTCGTGATTCATAAAACCGAGATCGTGACTTTTCAAATTCTAATAGCTTTAAGAATTCTTTATATTTTCTAAAAAATATATTTTCCCCAACAGGTTTGTGGAATATTAATATATACCCGGCAGTACCGTCTTTACTATAAGGGCCAATGCCACCGCCGAATATGACAGAAAAGTTGTGTTACTGTTAATTCCAGATAGGAAGTGGGTTTCGCGCTTCGTCACCATCTAAACTTTTTAATTAGGTGCTATTAAATCGCTTCGTAGCCGTTTTTTTTTTTCATTTTCGGTAACTCTATGTATTATTATGATTACAGCTTAAAACTTTGTTGGTCAAATTAATAATAGTCATAAAAGATACCTAGTAAGTAAGGGTTTGGAACGGGTCTCAGTGGGTATTTCGTTGCATGTAGGTTCCGATCTAGGAATACCTGAGAAGGAGGGATAAACTTGTAATTAAGTGAAAAACAAAATAAGTGTTCGGTAGAGAATAAAATAAAAATGTGAATTTGCAATTTGTGCAGTGTGCAGTACACTCGCTAAATTTAGTAGGTATTCAGGCTGTTGAATGTGTGGTTGTTGAATAAAGATAAGTCTCACAGGAAAAGAATTCGCACTACATGGCAAAGAAAAATTACATGTAGATACGTTTATTGATATGCACATTAGGAAAATCGTTTGGCAAGTATATCAAGAAATTGACAATCGTTTTAGTCTTCTTTCTCAATTATCTACAATCGATTCTAACGAGTTGATTACTTAATCAATTCAATGAATTTAAAGAATTCTACCACGATTACATTAATGCATATGCAATCGAATCAGAATATTTGCATTTAAAGTATTTAAATATTTAAAGAACATAGCAAAGGAATCAGCAGATTTGAGTATCTCAAACTTTTATAAACTAAGAAAGTCTGATAAATTATAAGAAATTTTTCCCAATTGTTGATGTTGCTACAAGATTTTTCTTTGGTTAATGGTTACTAATTCTAGTATGAAACGCTCACTTTCACAGCTAAAGAGGATGAAAAAAAGAAAAAAATACGTCACAATAGCAACTAAATTATTTGTCAATGATGTGCATAGAAAGTGATAGACTTTGAAGACATAATAGAAGATTTAGCATAACAGAAAACCTGAAACAAATCACTGTCGTTATCGTGACCGATTCACACCTAGATGGTTTGAAGCATGCTTATCTAATTAAAACTTAGGTATATTTATACTAATTATATGTATATTTGATTTTTGGCAATTGATTATTATGGGTAAATTAAGTTAAATTTTTATGCAAAAATTACAATAAATTGAACAATGGTGGCATTTTCCAGTCAACCTTTCGATAGTGGAGAATTGTC